ACACAGATAAAGGCCCGTCAGCCAGAGAGGAACCATATTCCAGACATCTCATGTAATGCTCACTTATCGCCAGAACCTTCCATGTCTTAGATGTGCCTTTCATCTGTCTCCCCCTTATCTATTTACCCTTGGCATGGACTCCAGGTCAGCTCCTTCCCTCTAGCGCCCATGCTGCCTCCCATCACCTCCAACGATCCTCTTTTCTCATCCCTTCCCTCCCACTGCTTCTTCTCTAATGCATATAGTTCTAGCACTTCAGAGCCAGACTGATTCACAGCTGCTCTTCCCAGATACTCTTTGGTTCCTGAGGAAACCTAAATGTCAAGTCCAGATTCCTTAGCCCAGCACACTGAAGACTGACCGACTTCTGCAGGCTCCCCTGTGAACTCCCACATACCAGATGAGCAGCCTCAGAAGACCTAGAAAGACTGGGTCACAGGTCTTGTTCCCACCAATAATCTCATTAGCTACTGTTCCTGGTGGTCCTTGATGATGGGGTCCTGAGTGATTCACCAGGCCCAAGGCAGTCTCAAATAGCCCTTGTCTGATTTCCACCCCTCAGTGTGCTCTAAAAGGATATTAGAAATTGGGGGAATTCAAGACTGAGGACTGCTAAGCATCCGCAGGCTTTGTGGACATAGTCCCTATCAGCTGTTGTTATTAAGGACCCCTAGGCGTTCTTGAAAATTGTCCAGTATACCCTTCTTCCAAAGCATTGATTGCCAGTGTGCACAGGTCAGAGACAATGGGACTGACATACAAAGATGTTCTAGAACATAATTCTGGAGTTGAACCCCCATCAAATTTGAGCACAAATATTAATCAAGAAATGAATTAGTGCCTCCCTGGTGGTGCAGCGTTTGAGCACTGGGCTGTGAAACTGCCCGCCGCCTCTGCAGCACCGGTTCAACCCCCGGCCACCGGTAAGTGTCCCACATGGCGCGCAGACCTCTCCTGTCGCCCGCTGCTCCCCTCAGCAGTGTCCTTCGGTCCTTCTGCCTGCTCTTCTCCATGCTCTGGCTCTGGTGAATTCTCTCAACCTCCTGTGCTTCTGACTGTCCCAGTGCTTGTATAAATAAATGAATAAATCTTTATAAAAAAGAGTCTGTCCATCTCTTCTGAAAAAAAAAAAGTGATGAAAAGATTATGTATGAATGAAATTAAGATGTGATGCTACTATACAATTTACAAACATGATCAGGAGGAGAAAACAACAGAATTAAAACATACAGATGAATGACAGACATTGAAAATCTGTTTGAGAAAAATCTCATAGTTTTGAGGACAAAAATACAAATTAATTACAGACATAAAATGAAATTGTAATTAGTGAGCATAACCAATGGAAATTCAACATAAAAACTGTTGTGCATGTACAGAAGAAAACAAAAAGCAAAGAGAAAACACTAGATAGATGACTGATTGATGATAGAGGGATGGATGTATAGATCAATCAATCGATCGATTGTGGGTCAATTGATAAACAAAGACAAGAGATATAGATGAATGTCGTAAAGTTTCTAAACAAAAGGTTTAGAAAGAATCTTCTAAAACTCTAGAGATCATTCAGAAAATTTTGTTCCCTTGTGAAGAAACACATAAAGTCACACCTTCTTGTTAATATTAGATGCAGGACTCCCTCGTGGCGCAAGGGCATAAGACACAACCTATGAAGCTATCCGCTGTCATGCATCACAAGTTCGATCTCTGGCCAGGGAGCTTCCCATATGGTTTAGGAGACCTCTCCTGTCTCTCTGCTGCTCCCCTCAGCAATGTATTATTTCATCAGTCTGCCTGTTCTGTTCCCCACTCTGTCTCTGGTGAATCCTCTCACCCCTTGAGCTTCTGGCCTGTACCCCAGCTCTTATGGACATGTTTCATTTTGTGGTTTTGATGGGAATTCTGTGTGAAAGTTGCATTTGACCTGAAGCAAGAAAAAAGAACCTGCTGTTTTGTTTTTAGGGTTCCAGAGACATCCAAAGAGTGTGAGGAAGCTTGCCTCCATTGGCAGGACTCAACAACTGGGAAAAAAAAAAAAAGTTCTGGTAACCTGGAGAATAGGAAACTCCAGGTGGAAACCAACTTTGTTTCTGAAGCCTACACGGACTAGATGTCAAGAGTTCACTCTGATATTATATGGAGTTTTCCAGCAAAGTTATCTAGAATTGCTGTTTGGTTACTCTGCCTTGTGATTTTATGCAAAAATAAGTAAATTGGTCTGAGAGTAGATTTAGTTTGCAAATATTTTGCTGTACTATTGTGTAAAATTGGGTCAAGGTGGAGAAAACTTGTTTTTAGAAAAGTTAAACTGGACCTCCCTGGTGGCGCAGGGTGTTAAATACAGCATTATCGAACTATCGCCAGCCACTGAAGCATGACTTCGATCCCCGGCTAGCCAGGGAGCTACACACATTGTACAGCAGACCTCTTCTGCCTTGCCTGCTGCTCCCCTCAGCAGTGTATTTCAGTAGATCTTCCTGTTCTGCTCCCCACTCTCTCTGGTGAATCTTCTCACCCCCACCCCCATGGACTGAGTAATTTCCAGGAATGAAGGACTATCATAATAGACACGCACAGACAATACTGGCGGCTGATTGTTATTCTCTAGCATACACTAAAATCCTGAGATGGGGTTTAAAATACAAAAAATAAGGGGAGTCTAGAGGAAATCTTGTGCCTATAGGTACTTATATAAAACTTTTTATTTACTTTTAAATTCTTGAATTACAACTGCTTTGGTCTAACAACTGCTGAGCAACATCTCGTTCCTACTTCCTCAGGGCAGTGGAGCAGCATTTTATGACAGCAACACCAAGCCCTAGGCCCCTGGTCATAGATTACTGTCCATCGCAAAGGCCAACTTGGCTGGGACCTTAAAACACTGAACATGGGGCCCCCCCTGGAGGCACAAGGGCTTAAGTCACAACCTATGAAGCTGTCTGCAGCCACCGCAGCAGGGGTTGGATCCCCCGGTCGGCCAGGGAGCTTCCTATATGGTGCAGCAGACCGCTCCTGACTCACCCACTGTTCCCCTCAGTGGTGTACTCTGGTCAATCTGCATGTTCTGTTCCCCACTCTGATTCTGGTGAATCCTCTCTCTATCACACACACCCACACCTCTGTCCTGTATTCCAGCTCTTGTATGCATAAATAAATAGATAAATATTAAAAGAAACACTGAACATGGGGGAGAGGGTATGTTACTGTTTCATTACCTACAGGACCACTTTGGATTCCAGCAGAAAAGGACCCATCTTATTCCAGAGCTCCAGCCATTAGCCATCTAGCTGCCACCTGGGATGCCACCTATGTAGGCCGACAGGAGGAACGAGGACCCTTCCCATTGACTGTGTTATTCTCCGGAACCTCAGATCAAGACACTATGCCCTTCAGGCTGCTGTATGCTGACATGATGGACATCAACAAACCCCCTAGACACCACCAACTCTGTTGTGTTTTGTTGTGACACTGTTCTACGAAACTCCTATTCTGATGTCACGGACCTTAGAGACAAACTATAAGGACAACAGACGGTAAAATTGTCAAGAGATCAGCTAAACACTGTACAGGCCCAACTGTCTTTGCCCTGTGACTGGACCTGTACATCCATCTGTGTAACTCCATTTGTATATAATCAGACTCAGGCTACATGGAAACATATTAAGCTACAATTTCAAGGAAATGTAAATATGTCTGAGCAAATGCAACACTTGCAACAAAATACACAGGGGACATTTGTTAAATGCTTATCAGCAGTAGGAGGGAAATATGTTGTAAATTTAATGATGGGGGTTAACCAATTTAAATAAACTGAACTATGTAAAAGCTTTGGGAATTATCTTCATGTTAATTGCAGTAATCCTTATTTTTGCATATCTGTTACTTTAAATCCTCTTCTACAAAAGTAAAGGAAGAAGCATGCGGGAGTGAAAACAACTGAATGTTGCTGCCATAGACATTGTCAAGGCTACACTAAAAAACAAAACAAAAAAAAAGGGACCTCCCTGCTGGTGCAAGGGGTTGAGACGCAACCTATGAAGCTGTCCAAAGCCAGTGAACATGAGTTTGATCTCCACCCAGGGGGTTACCCACATGGCACAGCAGACCTCTCCAGACACCCCGCTGCTCCCCTCAGCAGTGTATTTCCATTAGTCCACCTGTTCTGTTCTCCAATCTGGTGAATTATCTCATTCCCCCACACTTCTGGCCTGTACCCCAGTTCTTGTATGCATAAATAAATAAATCTTTTTTTTTAAAAAGGCGGGGGAGATGTGGAGACCCCTATGGCATAAAGTGCTGAGGCAAGGAAACTATCAGGGTCATGGCTGAAAGACTGGGCATGGCTAAAAGATGGATCAGCCCGGGTCAGAAGATTGGCCCTCCTACAGATCAGGATGTTGTGTCAGCGAAACCAGGCCTGTGAGAGAAACTAGATTAGAAGAGAGAACAGAATAATCTGATAACGCAGAACCTTGGCTGTGCATGTGTGCCAGAATAATGCTGAATACTAAGGAACAAAAGAATAATCCACTGTTTTGTAACTAACCTAGGAGGTGGTCTGTCTCCATAAATCTGAGTTGTTCTGGGTGCTCCAGACGACTGAGCCAGAATGAGAAGCCTTGCGTCCCCTGTGTATGTTTTCTTCTCCCTGTTGTTTGCTTTCTATTTAGTTCTATGCATTGAGACGTTGTGCCACTGGTGTTGGCGAGCATCTCTTTGGAGTGCTCCTCTAGGGGTGTCGGAAACTGTTCACCAGACTGAGACTAGCACTGGTAGGCCAAAACTCCACCAGAGTGTTGATGCTGTGTTGCTGGGCACTGTCCCTTACAGTTCACTCCCTCTGTATTTACTTAGTTCCAACAGGGAATCACTTAGTTGGTGATTTTGTTCTGGTCATGAGGGGGCACCAGAGACCTGTCCTTGCTGACCTTTGCTTTTTCCCAGTGGTTCTCGGCTGGCCTTAGGCTATTTGTAGGTCTCCGTGGAGTCCTTGCCTTCCTCTGACGGCGCCCGGAGCCACTCGATCACCTCTGTGGTGATTTATCACCATTCTCCACAGTTCCCATTTGTGGGGTGAGGTGCCTGAAATAGTTCCTCTCTACTCAGTGTCCCACTTGATCTGTCGTTTGTTCTTGCTGGGTTTTTTTCTTTCCTTCTTTCCATTGGTCAGAGAGTGCCTACTCAGTGGGTGGAGGAGGTAGCAGTGTTCTGACTCTTTCCCTTTTAAAAAAAAAATAAATAATAAAACTTCTCTTTGGCAGAGACTAAAAGTCTCTGTCTTGTGGGGAAACTCACTGTGTATGTGAAAGGGGGAATCTGGTGAAACTTTTCTCAGACGTGACCCAAGAACTCCAACTGTGACCCCAACACCTCTCCAAAATATCACTCCTCACCAATGTCAATGTTATAAAATCAAGCAAAGTCAGAGAAACAGTCAGCAAGAGGCACATCAAAGAGAACTGGCTGTAACTGAATGAGGCAATATGGATTATGGAACATAAAATGTACATTAGGAAAAACTAATGAAATTAAGCACGGAGTTTGGTAATTGTGTCAATATTGCTTCATTAGCTGTAAAAAAAAAAAATACCAAAAAAATTCATGTAAGGTGGGCGGAGCAACATGGCGGCGAGGAGACGCTGCGAGTAAGATCTCCCATTAAAAAAAGTAAATAGGGAGGAAAAGCGGCAGGTCCCAGTGAGAACCGGGACACGGAAGATAAACGGGTGACTCCAGCAAACTGCCCGAAGAAGAAAGTTGCCATAAAAGAGGACGAGAAGGGAGGGAAGCGCAGAACCCTGCTCCCCTCCCCCGCCCACAGAGGCGGCACTCTCCGACCGGCAGAGAGGAGGGAAACAACAAACCAAAACGGCCAACAAGAAAAACGGACACAGCAAACGGGACTGGGAGTGGAAAGGAACTATTGCAGCCACCACACCCCGTGAACGGGAGCTGAGGCGAACCCTGCAGGATCCGCCGCGGAGGTGAGCTCCAGGCGCCATTAAAGAGAGCCCCGCCCCCCAGGAGGAGACCAGCACCAGCACACAGCCCCGGCCGCCCGGTAAGCTTGCGCGGAAAGTGGCGCGGATCCAGACCAGATCGCAGCTGCCCAGGTCCCCGTGCCTGCGACCTAGGCTTGCGGGGAGACGGCGGAGGCCCTCCCTGAGTGAGCAGGAACAAGGCGCCCAGGCAGGGGAGCGGGATTCAAAAGGCGCCATTCCCGCGCCACTGATCTGGGCTACAGCCCGCGTCCTGGAACTGAGGGCTTTGGAACTGAGACCCGGGGCACGAAATTAGGGGCGTGGGTTCCCCACGACGGTGGGGCACAAGGCAGACACAGCACCCCAAAGCCGTTGAGGTGTACCCTACCATCCCCGCTCTGCTCCCTGTCCCACGGGGTGGAAAATCAGCTCCCCAAGGGCTCTAGGAGAGATCTCTGGCGCCACCTAGCGACTTGACCCCAGCACAGGCTACTGAAGGAGCTAGTGGCCAGCTGGGGAGTTAGCCCACACCTGGCTCCTTCCGAACAAGTAGTCTGAGCCCACAGGGAGAGCGAGCACCCACAGCCGGGGCAGACCAGGCGCGCAGAAGAGTGTGCCTGAGACCAGACGCGCAGGGAGTGTGTCCCACATCACCATTTTAGAACAGGGACATTTCTTCAGTAAAGACTACCTGCAGAAGGCTTCCTCAGGAGCCAGAGGTGAGCAGGGGAAGTTCGCCCACGCCAGACCCCCTCTGGCCTGCAGTCCAAGCCCAGAGGGGAGCAGGAACCCACCGCCTGGGCAGACCAGGCGCACAGGGGAGTGTGTCCCCACATCGGCATTTTAGAACAGGGACCTTTCTCCATTAAAGGCTGCTTGAAACTGACAGATGACTCCTGGAAGAACCAGAGGGGAACAGAGAAGCCCACCCAAGATGCCGGCCAGTCCCAAAAACACAGTGTCCCAACGCATACGGCAAATTAGAAAACAGACAGTAGGGAGGAGAAGAACCACACACAACCTAGCAACTCTCCAGAGAAAAAGCACACCACAAAAAGAAAGCCAGCCCCCAGATTGCAAAGACAATAACTTGGAAGAATTTCTGAGCCTTCCAGAAAGAGAATTTAAAATTGCCGTGATTAAAAAACTGACAGAAGTCATAAAGGAAAACAATGATAAGGGAAAAATAATCAACGATCAGAAGAATGCAATTGAGTCCCTAGAGAGGGAAAACAATGGTCAGAAGAAAGAAATTGAGTCCCTAAAGAGGGAAGTAAAAGAAATGCAGGAGATCAAAGAATTAATGGAAGAACTAAAGAATTCTGGGAAAAGCAATGAAAGCAGAATAGATGAAATGGAAGAACGAATAAGTAATCTGGAAGACACAGAAATAAAAAGAACCAAAACAGAAAAGGAAAGAGAAGTACGAAGGAAAAAGAACGAAGAAAGACTTCGGGAACTATCTGACTCCATGAGGAAAGGAAATATAAGAGTTATAGGAATACCAGAAGGAGAGGAGAGAGATGTAGGAACAGAGAAAATATTCAAAGAGATAATTGAAGAGAACTTCCCAAATGTGAAGAAGGAGCTGAAAATTGATATACAAGAAGCAAGAAGAACACCAAACTTCCACGACGAAAGGAAAAATACAGCAAGACACATAATAGTAAAGCTCCCAAGAATCCAGGACAAGGAAAAAATAATGAAGCTGGCAAGAGGGAAGAAACAGATAACATTCAAAGGAAAACCAATCAGGCTGACATCAGACTTCTCCGAAGAAACACTACGGGCAAGGAGAGAGTGGAGGGACATAGCCAACAGATTCCAAGAAAACAGATGCCAACCAAGAATACTCTATCCCGCAAAGCTCTCCTTCCTCTTTGAAGAAAGAATATGGACCTTCCCAGACAAACAGAAACTCCGGAATTTCATTGCAACTAAACCCCCACTCCAAAAAATACTACAAGGAGTCCTAAAGCCAGAACCTCAGAGGGACGAATAACAATGAAAGAAGGCCAAAAAAAAAAAGTTATTAAAAGAATAAATAAATAAAATCAAAGGAAAGACAAACACAATGGCAAATACAGATGTTAACATATCAATATTAACTCTAAATGTAAATGGACTAAACTCTTCAATAAAAAGACACAGAGTGGCAGCCTGGATTAAGAAACAAAACCCAACCTTTTGCTGTCTCCAGGAAACACATTTAGCTACAAAAGATAAAAATAGGCTCAAAGTTAAAGGATGGAAAACAATCCTACAAGCAAATGGACCAAAAAAGAAAGCAGGAACAGCTATACTTATATCAGATAAAACAGATTTCAAACTCAAAAAGATAAAAAGAGACCCCAATGGTCACTACATTATGATCAAGGGGACAATACTTCAAGAAGAAATAACACTCATTAACATATACTCACCAAACGAAGGAGCACCAAAATATATCAGACAACTGTTGTCCTCTCTGAAAACAGACATCAGAGAAAACACATACGTAGTGGGAGACTTCAACACACCACTATCAACAATGGATAGATCAACAAGACAAAAAATAAGTAAAGAAACCAAAGCTCTAAATAAGGACCTAGAGCAATTAGGCTTAACAGACATCTATAGAACACTAAACCCCAAAAAAACGGAGTACACATTTTTCTCAAGCGCACACGGATCATTCTCCAGGATCGATCACATACTGGGGCACAAGACAAACATCAACAGATACACCAAGATTGAAATCATATCAACCATCTTTTCTGACCATGAAGGCATCAAACTAGAAATAAACCATAAAAAGAAGGCAAGGAACTTTCCTACCTCATGGAGATTAAAAACCACACTACTGGAAGACCATTGGACTAATGAGGAGATCAAAGAAGAAATTAAAAATTTTTTTGAATTGAACGACAAGCAGGACACTAATATCCTAAATGTATGGGATGCAGCAAAAGCAGTAATAAGAGGAAAATATATAGCAATAGAAGCTCACATCAAGAAACAAGAAAGAACGCAAAGAAACAACCTCATCTCGAAGCTCAAAGATCTAGAAAAAGAACAACAAAAAAACCCCAAAACCAGTAGAAGAAAAGAAATAATAAAATCCAAAGCAGAAATAAATGAAATTGAAACTAAAAAAACAATCCAAAAGATCAATGAAACCAAGAGCTGTTTTTTGAAAAAATCAATAAAATAGACAAACCCCTAGCCAGGCTCACAAAGGAAAAAAGGGAGAAAGCACAAATAAACAGGATCATCAATGAAAGAGGAGAAATCACAACGGACACAGCAGAAATCAAAAGAATAATCAGTAACTACTATGAACAGTTATATGGAAACAAGTTTAACAATCTAGAGGAGATGGACAAATTCCTACAACTCTACAATCACCCAAAGCTAGATAAAGAAGAAATAGAACACCTAAACAGACCAATTACAATTAGCGAAATTGAAATGGTAATCAAAAACCTCCCCAAAAACAAAAGTCCAGGACCTGATGGATTTACAAATGAATTCTACCAAACATTCAGAGACGAATTAGTGCCTATCCTTCACAAACTCTTCCAAAAAATTGAGAAGGAAGGGACAATACCAAACACGTTTTATGAAGCCAACATTACACTAATACCAAAACCGAACAAGGACAACACAAAAAAGGAAAACTACAGGCCAATCTCCCTAATGAACACTGATGCAAAAATCCTCAATAAAATTTTAGCTATCAGAATCCAACAATGTATCCATAAGATAATTCACCACGACCAAGTTGGATTCATTCCAGGGGCACAAGGATGGTTTAACATCTGAAAATCAATCAACGTTATCCAACACATCAACAAAAAGAAATATAAAAACCATATGATAATATCAATAGATGCTGAGAAAGCTTTCGACAAAGTGCAACACCCATTCATGATAAAAGCCCTTGAAATTCTGAGGATACAAGGAACATACCTCAACATCATAAAGGCCATCTATGACAAGCCAACAGCCAGTATCATTCTCAATGGTGAAAAGCTGAAAGCAATTCCATTAAGATCTGGAACAAGACAAGGATGTCCACTCTCACCACTGCTTTTCAATATAATACTGGAAGTCCTAGCCAGGGCAATAAGACAAGAGAAAGACATCCAAGGAATCCAAATAGGAAAAGAAGAAGTCAAACTATCACTATTTGCAGACGATATGATATTATACATAGAGAACCCCAAAAACTCCACAGAAAAGCTAATTCAACTCATCAATCAGTTCAGTAAAGTGGCAGGATACAAAATCAACACGCAAAAGTCAGTAGCCTTCCTATACACAAACAATAAATCTGAAGAAGAAGAAATCAAAAAGACCATCCCTTTTGTTATTGAAACAAAAAAAAATCAAATATTTGGGAATAAATCTAACAAAAGAGGTAAAGGACCTATACAAAGAAAACTATAAAACACTGTTAAAAGAAATAGAAGAAGACACAAAGAAATGGAGAGACATCCCCTGCTCATGGATTGGAAGAATAAACATTATTAAAATGGCCATCCTACCAAAAGCAATATACAGATTCAATGCTATTCCAATCAAAATTTCAATGTCATTCTTCAAAGAAATAGAACAATTATTGATGAAATTCATATGGAATCACCAAAAACCCCGAATAGCCAAAGCTCTCCTGAAAAAAAAAGAAGGGAATGGAGGCATCAGACTCCCAGACTTCAAACTATACTACAAAGCCATAATCATCAAAACTGCATGGTATTGGAACAAGAACAGACATACAGACCAATGGAATCGAATAGAAAATCCAGAAATAAACCCACAGATTTATGGTCAACTAATCTTTGACAAAGGAGCAAAGAATATGCATTGGAGCAAAGAAAGTTTGTTCAATAAATGGTGCTGGGAAAACTGGGTCGCTACATGCAAAAGAATGAAGCTTGACCACCACCTCACACCATACACAAAAATCAACTCAAAATGGATTAAAGAACTAGACATAAGACCTGAAACCATAAAATATATAGAAGGAAATATAGGCGAAACACTACGTGATTTGCACATCAAAGACATCTTTACAGACACATCACCCAAAGCAGTGATAGTGAAGGCGAAGATAAACAGCTGGGACTACATCAAATTAAAGAGCTTTTGCACAGCAAAGAGACAATAACAAAAACAAAGAGAAACCCCACCAACTGGGAGAACATTTTTGCACCCAACACTAATGATAAAGGACTGATCACAAAAATCTGCAAAGAGCTGATGAGACTCAACAACAACAAAGAAAATAATCCAGTCAAAAAATGGGCAGGAGCTAAAAAGAAACTTCTCTGAAGAGGAAATGCAAATGGCCAACAGGCATATGAAAAAATGTTCAACATCACTTGTCATCAGGGAAATGCAAATCAAAACTACCATGAGATACCATCTTACACCAGTGAGAATGGCACATATTAAAAAAACTAGCAACAACAAATGTTGGCGAGGGTGTGGAGAAAAAGGAACTCTTCTGCACTGTTGGTGGGAGTGCAAACTGGTCCAACCACTGTGGAAAGCTGTATGGAGATTTCTGGACCTACTAAACATAGAGCTTCCATATGATCCAGCAATTCCACTCCTAGGTATTTACCCAAAGGACACAGAAACATCAATTCCAAAGAACACCTGCACCCCTATGTTTATAGCAGCACTGTTTACAATAGCTAAGCTTTGGAAACAACCCAAATGCCCAAAAATAGATGACTGGATCAAGAAGATGTGGTACATATATACCATGGAATATTACTCAGCATTCAAAAAAGATAAACACATGCAATTTGCAGCAACATGGATGGCGCTGGAAGGGATCATGCTCAGCGAAATAAGCCAAAAAGAAAAAGAAAAATACCGGATGGTCTCACTCATAGCAGGAATCTAGAAAACTTAAATAAGGGACCAGGAAAATGAATAACTATAAGAAAGTGAAAATCAAAATCAACAAAAAACTATGAACCAGAGACACTTTTAGGGGGGCGGGGGTGGGAGGGGAGGGATTGGGGTCAGAATGGGGGGGCTGCAATTGTATGGGGAATATAACAATAAAATTTATTAAAAAAAAAATAAAAAAAAAAATAAAAAAAAAAAATTCATGTAAGATGTTAAAGTGGAAATGGTGTGGGATAAATAAGAACTGTACTATCTTTGCAACTTTTCTGTAAATTTAACAGTATTCATTAAATGTTATATATTTTTAATGTCCTCAATACTAAATAGGTTGTAAAAGGAAAAAACAATCTACTTTCCTGTTTCCCCAGGTTTTGTTATCCAGAGGCTGGAGAGAGGGATTCTGGGGAGCAAAGCTGGAAACCTCACACCCAGGGCATTTCCCTGAGTCTCCTCTCCTCTGAGCCCTGCTTCCCTGAATCCTCACAGAGCATCTCACCACCAGGATGCCGCCCTCCAGGACCCCCAACTCTTCCCATTTCAGAACCGGCCGTGTCCTTGCAGCTCCACCAGAATCCGAAACACTCCACCAGAATTGGGAAACAGTCAGATAACCCTTTTTATACCAGGGTCGCCCTGTAACAGTTTGGCTCAGTAAAGAAAGGGGGAGCCAAGCTAAACTTTCTCGAAGGAAGGGAAAATTCATTGCACCCCCGGGCGAGCTTCGGGGTCCCAAGAAGGGGGCGGTCCCTGAAGTCGTGCCCGTTGTGGGGGGAGATGTCATTTTATAGGGTGAGGAGAGGTTAGGCAGGAAAATTGTGTTGGCGGGGGGGGGGAAACAGGTTTAGGGGGAACAAAGTTGTTTTTTTGTGGAGCCAAATTGTTTTCTCCTGCTTATGGCTTCAGTTTCGGTTTGATGGAATCAGGGGTACTGGGGTCAGGACCATCTTGTTGTTTGTATGTGGGTTTCCTCATTCCTGGTCCCTGCATCAACCTTTCATACCAGCCTTTTGTTGAAATGGGCCAATGGTTCTTTCTTTGGCTACGTTCTGCTGGACAGCGGCGAAGACCAGGGTGGGGGCTCAGGTCTGGTTATGAGATAGTCTTTGCAGGGACGCGAGGATATGGGTGGAGAAGGAGTTGGTTAAAGGTGGTATGGGACAGTTCTTGGATCCAGTGTTGCATGAAACAGAGTAAGCATGGGGCAAAAAGAAAAAAAATGAGATTAGGATAAGAGGTCCTATGAGTGGTAATACTTTGCCCGAGGCTGTGTTGATCTGAAATTGCCAGGCATAGACAGAAGGGAAGTGGCTTGAAGAGATGGGATTAGAAACAGAGGAAGGAGAGGAGCCTCCCATGTGGTGCAGCGGTGGACGGTTGAGCGCTGGATTGCCAAGCTGCCCGCAGCCTCTACAGCACCGGTTCAATTCCTGGCCTCTAGGCGAGGGTCCCACAAGGCGGGCAGACCTCTCCTGCCGCCCACTGCTCCCCTCAGCAATGTGCTTCGTCAAGTCTGCCTGTTCTGCTTTTCGCTTTGTCTCTGGTGAGTTCTCTCACCCTCCTGTGCTTCTGACTGTACCCAGTGCTTGCATAAATAAATCTTAAAAAAAAACAAACAGAGGAAGGTGAATCAGAGGGCCTCTACTTTATAAGCTGAGTGGGATGTGGACCAGGGGCACAGTGATGTGTACCCGAGTTGGGCCTATGTGCTCGCATACATACTGCTTGTCCACAGGGACCGGTTTGACCCTGGACAGCTGATGCCAGGATGTGTTGCCCAAGACCTTGACAGCCATTGGGGTAGTCAGGATGATCGTGTGTGGACCCATTCACTTTGGCGGATGTGGTTTTGGAGAGATGGCTTTCAGAAGAACCTGGTCTCCAGGGCACAGCAGGTTGACAGGTGCATCAGGGGACAGAAGCACAGGTTGTGGCAGACAACAGTCTGCATATTTTTGGAGCAGCTGTCTGAGCAAAGAGAAGTATGGAAAATATCCAGCCAATGTGTTTGTTGGACAGGGAGTTCATGGTTAGTAAGAAGAGGTCTGCCATACATCCGTTCAAGACGGGGTCAGGAACAAGGGGCCACAGGGAGTGGCTTGGAGGTGCTCTAAATCCAGTGTGAGCAGCTCTACCGAGGATTTACGCAGCTCAGTGGAGAGTTTGGTTAGGTGATCTCTGGTAAGACAATTCACCCGATCTACCTTACCAGAGGATTGCAGTCCGGAGGGAATGTGTAATTTCCATGTGATGCCCAGGGAGGAGTCCTGTGGAGTAATCTTTGAGATAAAGGTGGGAAATAAGGAAAAAACAAAGAAAGAAAAATAAAATAACTAAAATAAATAGCCTAAACAAATAATTAAATAAATAAACCAATAAATAAAGCAAAAGAAAACCAAATACCGCAAAACACAATCTCTCTCTCTGTATCGGCGTCCGGAGTGCACAGGTCACTGTCCAAAGCTTCCCGGCTCCTGAGGACACAGGCGCAGTCCAGGCGGGCCTGATGTAGGCGGGGCCGGTGCCGTCACAATGGCTCTTTGTGGCGTCAGAGCCAGAGGCCACAGCCATTGGCAGAGGGAACCGCCAGTGGTTTTTCAGCCTTAAGGAAAAAGCTGCCGCTTAACGGCAACCCTTGGAATGCCTGAGAGGCCCTTTCATTTGTGCTGAGCAATCCTGTCCTGGGTTTTGGCTTGTGCAGATACTGGCCCTGCCTTGTGCAGATGCTTTACTGTTGCGCTCACACTGTGGAGAGAACAGCAAACAGGGGGCGCAGGCGGTTGGGCGGCGCTGGGAATCTGTCCACAGCTTCCGCCGCGCCCGCGAGGTTACCACGTGGCGCGCAGAATCCTCCTGCAGCGCCCGCTGCTCCCCTCAGCAGTGGATTTCAGTCAGTCTGCCTGTTCTGTTCCCGGCTCTGTCTCTGGGGAATCCTCTCACCCTCCTGCGCATCTGCCCTGCACCCCGTGCTTGGATAAATAAAATACATCTTTAAAAAATAAAAAAAAAAGGAGTCACAGTTACTACTGTTGGAGTGAACTAGTAAGGTTTAAATTCTAAAATTTTCAAGAGGTAATTTCAGGATTCTTTTTCAGCCTGTCTTTCTTTTTTGGGGTTTTAATTGTGTCATGGACATAAGACCTGAAACCATAAAATATATAGAAGGAAATATAGGCGAAACACTACGTGATTTGCACATCAAAGACACCTTTACAGACACATCACCTAAAGCAGTGATAGTGAAGGCAAAGATAAACAGCTGGGACTACATCAAATTAAAGAGCTTCTGTACAGCAAAAGAGACAATAACAAAAACAAAGAGAAACCCCACCAACTGGGAGAACATTTTTGCACACAACACTAATGATAAAGGACTGATCACAAAAATCTGCAAAGAGCTGATGAGACTCAACAACAACAAAGAAAATAACCCCGTCAAAAAATGGGCAGAAGAGCTAAAAAGAAACTTCTTTGAAGAGGAAATGCAAATGGCCAACACGCATATGAAAAAATGTTCAACATCACTTGTAATCAGGGAAATGCAAATCAAAACTACCATGAGATACCATCTTACACCAGTGAGAATGGCACATATTAAAAAAACTAGCAACAACAAGTGTTGGCGAGGGTGTGGAGAAAAAGGAACTCTTCTCACTGTTGGTGGGAGTGCAAACTGGTCCAACCACTATGGAGAGCTGTGTGGAGATTTCTGGACCTACTAAACATAGAGCTTCCATATGATCCAGCAATTCCACTCCTAGGTATTTACCCAAAGGACACAGAAACATCAATTCCAAAGAACACCTACACCCCTATGTTTATAGCAGCACTATTTACAATAGCTAAGCTTTGGAAACAGCCCAAATGCCCAAAAATAGATGACTGGATTAAGAAGATTTGGTACATATATATACCATGGAATATTACTCAGCATTCAAAAAAGATAAACACATGCAATTTGCAGCAACATGGATGGCGCTGGAAGGGATCATGCTCAGCGAAATAAGCCAAAAAGAAAAAGAAAAATACCGGATGGTCTCACTCATAGCAGGAATCTAGAAAACTTAAATAAGGGACCAGAAAAATGAATAACTATAAGAAAGTGAAAATCAAAATCAACAAAAAACTCTGAACCAGAGACACTTTTTGGGGGGTGAGGGGCGGGAGGGGAGGGATTGTGGTCAGAATGGGGGGGTTGCAATTGTATGGGGAATATAAAAATAAAATTTATTATTTAAAAAAAATTACCAGAAAGTAAAGAAAAAAAATAATTGTATCATGGAGTCTAGTATAGTAGAAAATAACATTAAATAATAATACTATATACACAATAGTTCCTTTGAGAAGGAATATACTAACAAATCCAATAGGTCATAACAATACCAATGTGCTTAAAATCTAAACAAAAATGTTAGGCAATTCAGAATACTTCGTTTTTTACGTTGCTTTTAACACTTTAGCCAAAATAAAGTGATTTAATAGTGATAAATATCAGGAACTATAAATATCATTGTTTTAATTCTATATATATTACATATATCAATATGTGCACTTACAAATATATTAATATCTGAGGAAGGAGATTTAGAGATGTTAATTACTTTTTCCAAGGTTACCTATATATGACATTCACTCAAAAGAAACAATGACTAATTATTGAGAAACTACACTGTACTTTTGTAGAATTGATAGTGTTCTACTGATCAAGATATAGAGAGACTGTTGTGATAAAACTGACTTTTCAGTGGCAGGGAATAAAAGCAATATAAATAAGTTTTAAAATATCCAACAGAGAAATAACAAATGGTGATAGGATCTGTACAAAGGATCGAAACATACCAATTGAATTTTCAATAACATATAGGATAACATCAAAATATGAAACCCTTCAGGATATTTTTAATAAAATGTATGCATCTGTAAAGCGATGAAAACATTATTCTTTAATGGAAATTATAAGACTTCAATAAATGACAATATGAACTCTATTTACAGACCAGGATGCACACAGCAAAGTTTGGGAGAAAGCACAATTGCAGAGGGGAGCACGGACAGGCAGAAATGACTGAATCACCCTGCAGTAAGAAAAAGGAGGTCAGTGTTTCATGTGGACAAAGGAGAAGGAATTGTGAGACAAGGTCAAAGATATTCACAGAAACTAGTCACTCAGAACTTCCTAATTCAGGGTGATGGCCTGAACTTCATGCTAATTGTGAAAATGGAGAGAGATGATGTTGAGTGGAGTGAATTGAATAATTTGTGTTTGAGAAAAATCTCTTTGCATTGGGGAAACTAGATTGTAGGAGAACAAGAATGCAACAGGGAAAACAACCGAGAAACTTGCAGTAGACAAAGAGAGAGGTGTGGGTCATAATGGTACTTTGCTTAGGATGTTAGCTAATAGGGCTGATTTGGATGGATATAGAAAGTGAGGGAAAGACAGAAATTAAAGATGCTGCCAAACTTTCTATCCTGAGCAACTTGGTACATCTAATTGCTATTTGCTTTTTTTTTAAATTATTTATTTATTTATTTATACAAGCACTGGGTACAGTCAGCAGTGCGAGAGGGTGAGAGAATTCACCAGAGCCAGAGCAGAGAACAGAATAGGCAGAGTGACGAAATGCACTGCTGAGGGGAGCAGCGGTCACAACAGGAGAGTTCTGTGGCGCCATGTGAGATCCTCACTGGTGGTCAGGGATCGAACCTGTGCTGCAGAGGCTGCAGGCAGCTTCGCAGCCTTGCACTCAACCGCTGCGCCACCAGGGGAAGCACATGCTTTTTTTTTTAAGTTTTATTTTTATTTGCTGAATTCAGAGAACAAAGAGTAGAGGTTTGGGTAGATAGAAGATTGGTGTAGTTGAAGAAGTTAGTTTCCATCTTCTTTTATAAGAAATCACACCACTCTAATATCTAACAAAGATTTATTGATATATAATGTTGTGGGGAAGAATCAAGGTGGAGACACTGTTGCAGGGGTGAAAGAATTCACCAGAGACAGATGGGAAAGGCCAGGTGAATTTATTGAAATACACTGCTAAAAGAAGCAGAGGGCGAAAGCGGAAGTGTGTACTGCTCAGAGTTTGGGTCCCAAGTCTCTCTTTATACTCGAGACACCATTGACTGGTTAGGGTGACTAGTCTTGGGTGTGTCCTGACTGATGATCTGAATCAGCATAGAGGGTCATCAGTTCTGGGCCTCACCAGCTTAAGGTCCATGTTTCCATGGCAGTTCCATCCCTACTCCCTTTATCATTCCAGCCTACCAAACTTGCTTGCTGGCCAAGGAGTGGGGGCTTGGTTTTCAAATTCTTAACGATACCTTGACAGGCCAGAGGTGCAGGGGTGAAAAATTTCACCAGAGGCAGACTGGAGAACAGAAAAGGCACATTTGTTCAAATACACTGCTAAGAGAAGCAGCTGGGGAGACAGGAAAGATCTGCAAGTGAAGACAGATTTGGGGCTCCCTTTTATAACTGGTTTTGTCAGTTTTGCTTTGGGGAGTGAGTTTTGGGCTGGTTAGTGCAGGGGTGTCTGATCCTGGGGGGTTGATCTTTGACCCAGAATGTGTCCTGGCCTTGCCTCCACATTCCTGGTCAAAGGGATCCATCTTACGGTTTGGGACCCAGAGCAGCCTTATCAATTCTCTCTGTGTTCAAGCCTCCCAAACCTTCCTGCTGGGCAATGGGTGAGGTTTAATTTTAACCTTATTTAACGCTACCCCACCAGATACCATTTGGTTTCTGTTTTCATGCCACAGTGGATACTTTCGTATATGTGATTTACATCCCCTCTTCCTGGTCTTCACCTGTCTGCATCTGCTAAATTCAGAAGTCTCTACTGACAGAAACAATTCAAAGCATGCACTCTATGACTTAACACTCTTACATCAATATGTGTCAAGTAAATTACCAAAAAGGGAACACCAATTCCCCAAAGGCTAAACACGGAAGCAATTCTACATTTTCTTAAGAGAGAATTTCTGACAATTAGGTTGTAAGTTATGGTACAATCAAAATAGCAAAAGGGGTTTGAATTGGGTTGCTTTATTTTTTTATTGCTCATTCCCTGTCGCAACCATGTTTAAATACCAAATATTGAAACATGTGCCCATCAAATAAGCAAAAATAATATAAATTTCGGAAAAAGGAAAGAAAATACTGTGATTTCCAGAGAAAGGATCATGTTGTCACTCCTGCAGTATACATCTGGCCCAACACGGGTGTCAGGGTATCATTTCATAATTTTAAAAACTAAGCTCTCACTCTTACCCCATAGTCATGTTTGAGAGACTGAGCAGAGAAGGACATCAATTAGGCTGCCACGGGAACTGGGCCACTAGTCTGACCACCATGGCAGATAAACCAGCCCAACTCCAGGAATGCAGAGGCAGGGCCTGCACATGTGTCTGTGTCAAAGGTCTGCACCCAAGAGCAGACATCCCAGCTGATACCCCGTGCAAACTGGCTCCCCAAGTAAGAAACCCTATGTAACCCTAGTGTAAA